GGAAGCTGAGGCAAGAGGAGAGAGTTGAGGATAGGTCCCTAAGCTTCCTGCGTTGGTTACTCCTTTAATAATATGATAAATAATTTGATGGCCCTTTTCCCAAGGAAAAGCACACACTGGATGTCCCTGAATTATGAACAACTTCTGTTCCAAAGTCTTTCTTTAAGTCGGATTTGCACGTTAAGTTGGAGCAGTTAAGTACGGTTCATATCTAATGTCAGTTTGTCTTTGTATATAGTATATACCCCCCGTGAGATATTTCCTAAGCACTGCTATGCCATCCCCCCCATTGGCAGCGATGGAGCAGTTGGCAAAATAAACATAGAAAGTATATATTACTGAATAAAATACAGAAATTTTAGTTCATGGGTGCCAAGTGGAGTTCCTAGGTGATGCAAATAGTTAACAATGGTGTTCAGCTGCTAACCAAAAGGTCGTAAGTTCGAGTCTACGCAAAGGCTCCTGGGAAGAAAGGTTTGGAGATCTATTTCTGGAAAAGCAGCCATTAAAAAACCTATGGAGCACAGTTTTACTCACACACATGGTCACTGTGAGTCAAAGCCCACTCCATACCGACTTTTTTTTTTTTTTTTTTTAATGCAAGAATATTTCCTTTCAGGTCTTAATAAAATTGAATAAAAATGTTGCTGAGAGGTAATTTGAAGTCAAACAACTTGAATTTATGGCTTTCCATGTCTGTGCTCCTGTGACTTTCTTCAGTAATATTCAGTAGCTCAAGAATGACAGCCGATGTGGTACAGGAATTGAGGCTGTGGGCTTCAGAGCAGGACCAAAAGACCAAACCAAACCCACTGCCATTGAGTCCATTCCGACTCATAGTGACTCCCTTTGGGTTTTGGAGACGGTAAATCTTTGTGAAAACAGATTACCTCGTCTTCCTTCTGCAGAGTGGCTGGTGGGTTTGAACCACCAACCTTCTGATCAGTAGTCAAATGTCTTAGGCACTGTACCAGTAGAGCTCCTTGAAGCTGGCCCAGAGGGTGGGATAAAGTAGAGGAAGCCAGCGGGGGCAGAGGAAAAGCAAAGCAAGTGAAGCAGGAGAAGTTGGAGAGGTGGGAGTAGTATCACGTTGAAGATCCACTCTAGGTGCAGGCCATAAAGGGTTGCTTTGTAGAGAATTTGAACATAGTAGTAAAACTAAAAGTCATTCTTTTCATTATCACCACGCACAAGCAGTTCTAAACAATAACTGATAAAATACTCCTCTCTGAAAAGTTTTATTGGTCTAACACCTAAAAAAATTGCTTGCACTGTGTGGACCTGCACCACAGGGAGGTAGATGAAGAGATTAAGATTGAGAGAGTAGGCAGAGGCTTGCAAGGGCGAAGTGCAGGATGTGGGTGAGGTGGTAGTAGGTGGCTGTTGTGAAAAGCTGATATGGTGTTATGGTTGAAGACTCTTTCAGCTGGGTGGTTGTAAGTAGCACCTATTTCAGCTGCTCAGCTTCTAGAATCTAAACATTGTCTGGAGTCTTACACCTTTTTTTTTTTTTTTTCCTTTTTTTAACTGGATCCAATTACTAGTTATAATTACACATGTCTTCTTTCTTAAAAGTCAGCTCTGCATATCTACATCTGCATTGATGTCTTCCTGAGTTTTTTCACCTCTTTCTTAGCAGATAGTATTATGAATTCAATTGTGTTACCCCCCAAATTTCTGTTTAAGTCCTAACCCCTGATACCTGTCAATGTGACCTTAATTAGAAATAGTCTTTGAAAATGTTATCAGTTAACAGGAGGTTATACTGGAGTAAGGTGAGTCCTACTCCTATCTGCATGGTGTCATAAAAAAGAGAAGAGACACAGAGGAGAGATGGGCCATGACCACAGAGTTAAGTTCCAGCTGCAAGCCACGGAATGCCTGGGGCTACCAGAAGCTGGAAGAAACATAAGAAAGGTGTTCCTCTAGTGGCTTTGGGGAGAGTGTGGCCCAGACAACACCCCAAATCAGGACTCCTAGACTCCAGAATTGTGAGAGAATAAATTTCTGTTCTTATAAGCCACCTAGTTTATGCTAATTTTTACAGAAGCCCTAAGAAACTAATATAGATTACACTTACTTGATCACATGCTTCTCCCCTACTAGATTTTGTATACCTGGAGGCCAATGCCTGTGTCTTACTCAGTTTTAAATCTCCGTTGTCTACATGCAAGCTCTTAAACCCTTGTCAAATGCATGCACAAGTGTATTTTGCCTTTCTTTATAGATTCCTCAGATCTCAGAGGGCCAGGTACCCGTAGATTCAGCAAGGTGTTATTTGTCTTCTTTTAGATAAATGGCACGCATATATATTTTACCCTTTAAGAAGTATGTATAATTGTTGGATCTTTATTCCAGCCTGAAACCACAGGGATGTGGAGCCAAATTAGAGAGGTCCACTAAAACCAAAACCAAACTCAATGCCATTGGGTTGGATCCGACTCACAGAGACCCCTCCTTGGGTTTCCCAGGCAGTATCACTACAGAAGTAGATTACCCAACCTTCCTTTCGAGGAGTGGCTGGTGGGTTTGAACCACCAGCTTCTGGTAAGCAGTCAAGTGCCTTAGGCACTATGCCACCGGAGCTCCTCGAGAAGTCCATAGTGACCCCCATTTCATCTTAAAGGCTATCATGGCATTGTTCTGTACTGTCCTGCTGCAGGGTCCAGAATGAGATTCATTTCCACTAGAATGCATGTTGCTGTTGGTAGTATAATCCGGACCATAACGGCAATAAATGAATCCTTTGATGGTGTCCCAAAAGAACCTAAGTGCTTCTTGAAACCTCCTCTGTAACTTATTTCTTGGGCATAGTTATACAATGGAGAAAACAGGGTCCAATTTGCCCTTTCAGCCTTCTCTGAGGGATCATGAGAGGGAAGGTATTCTCTGGGAGGTGAACCACTTCTAGAACAGCCATAATCCACACCATCTCTTCCCATGCGTCTGCCCTCAAGATAGTCCTGAGGGCTGACACAGGAGTTGCCACAGCACTGGCTAATGGAGTAGATTAGCAAGGGCAGTTTAACATTTCAGGTTTGAAGCAGGAACTTTGTAGAGGATAAATCAAAGAAGCAAAAGAAGGATAAAGAAAACCCCCCTTCCCCAACTTGGCAGAATGTCGTTGACTTCTGTTGGGTTCCACGGTACCTGGCAAAAATGAATAGGTATGGAATTGTTCAACATAGTCAACTTACAATCGGAGCTAGGGGCACAGGCACAGGCCCAGGCCCTCATTCCTCAAACAGCAGGATTACTACTGGAGCCACACACAGCATCCTGACAGTATGTGTTGTTATTGTTGTTGGTTGCTGTCAAGTTGACTGACTTGTACCAACTCTACCTACACTGCTGGGCCCTATAAAATCTTCATAATCATTGTTGTGCTCTATCCATTGTTGTAGCCACTGTGTATTTCGAGTGCCTTCAGAATGAGGGGGTTCTTCTAGCACTATATCAGACGGTGTTCTCTTGTGATCCATAGCATTTTCATTGGCTAGTTTTCAGAAGTAGATCACCAGGCCTTTCTTTCTCGTCTTAGTCAGGAAGCTCCACTGAAACCTGTATACCATGGGTGATCCTGCCGGTATTTGAAATCATACCTTCTGGCATCATAGCAACTCGAAAGCCACCACAGTGGGTAGACTAACCCAAACCTACTGCTGTGGAGTCAGATCTGACTCACAGTGACCCGTCCTTGGGCTTCTGAGGCAATATCACTATGAAAGTAGATTGCCCAACCTTCCTTCTGAGGAGTGGCTGGTGGCTTTGAACGCCCGCCTTCTGGTTAGGAGTCAAATGCCTTAGGCACTGTGCCACCTAAGCTTAGTATTTAGTCAGCATTACTCAGGGTGCTACATTGTAAGCGGGAGCTCTGGTAGCATAGTGCCTAAGGCACTTGACTGCTTACCAGAAGGCTGGCGGTTCAAACCCACCAGCCACTCCTCGGAAGGAAGGTTGGGCAATCCTACTTCTGTAGTGATACTGCCTCGGAAACCCAAGGAGGGGTCGCTATGAGTCGGGGCCGACTTGAAGGCAAACAACAACAACATTGTAAGCCGAGAACACTTCACACACATTGTTAGGCTATCAGCCTTGAAGCTTGAAGATGTGTTTGAAAATGGAATTTGCCCTCAAACAAGCATCTGTGATTTGGTCGTACTCCCTCCCTCTTGCTAATTTTATAAAAGTGAGCCCTGGCAGTGCAGTGGTTAAAGCACTCAGCTGCCAACCAAAAGGTCGGCCAGTCTTTGGGAGAAAGATGTGCCAGTCTGCTTCTGTAAAGATTTACAGCCTTGGAAAGTCTCTGAGCAGTTCTACTCCAGTCAGAATCCACTCCACAGCAGTGGGTACAGTTTTCTTCATTCTGATAATTTTATAAAATGTGCATTCAGAAAAAAAAATATCTAGTCTGTGAAGGAATTTGGTCACCTAGCTAACTCTAGAAGGTGCCTGTGTAATCTACTGCTCTTTATAGGAAACTTCTAAATAATTTAAATCTTAAATTGGGTTAAAGAGATCCTTACCACATAGATAGGTGTTCTATAAATAAAAGGATGAGTAAATAATATAGTAACCTTCCTTTTCATGCACTTCCCTTAAAAAGATCCTTTTGTTTTATTTGTACCAATAAGATCATTGTTAGGGGACTCTTCTGGGAGGTTGAGTTTCGCCTGGGTGGGGCTTTCCCAAAAGAGTCCCTTTTAGCTTGTTTCAGGTGTACCGCCACCTTTTCCCTTGGCTCTTTCACTAAAAATGAATAATTTGTTTATCTCTGTTCTGAGTAGCTTAGCACCAAGGGTTCTGCATTGGCAACCCGGGTCACAGAAAGAAGTCAAGGTAGCGTGCTGACCTCACTTGCTATCTGAAATCAGAAAGGTTGAAATAGTCCAGCACCCGCTGTGAGAAAGCTAGAGGAGAAAGAAAGGGAAGGAGAGAGAAAAATGCTTGTAAAGAGGAAGTGGTAAGAGGCTTCAGAATTTCAGTGTGACCTGTTCTGTCAGGTGATTTCTGTGGGGGAGGGGACACGAAAAAAAAAAAAGTTAAGTAAAATGTCCTTATAAAGACAAAATCTATTTCTTTCCTGGCTGATGATTTGTCATTCTAGTCACTTCCTGCCTTGTGACCACATACCCGGGGTTGACAAAGTTGTTCTCCAGATCAGAAAGAAGGGGTTTCTGATCACACGCCAGTCTTACTGAGGACAGTTTTTCTACAAGGTAAATTTTCTTTATGTCTTTTTGTTGTCTCCAAGTGTTTATAATGCAGTTGCTTGTTGTGTGGCTCTGTTTCTGTGACTGTGGACTTTGCCTTCAGGGGACTAGAGATAGCACCTGTCCTGTGAGCCCTGCCACACTTTAACTCCTCACTAAACCTGCAGCCACCTTGCATCCCTTCCAGGATGGGACCCCTCGGCTCTCTGGGTTGCGTTCTTCTCAGGTTCTCCACAGCTATCACCTGTAGAAAAAACTGATATTGCTCATTTTAAAAGTAAACCAAGTTTTGATTTATTTCTATTGCTTTATTTCACGGAGGCTATATTTACTGTGATTTTATCTCCTTTAAAATGTTTTCAGGAAAGTGCATATTGATCATGTAGACTGTGCTGCTCATTGGCCTAAAGAGGGAGGTTTAATTTGAGCTCCTGTGGGTCTGTTTAAATAAAACTTCTCTACAGTACTTTTGTGGATGGGTTACGACCTTGAGTCATGCCTTACTGAGGGTGAGTCTGGTCGTTTGAGTCCTTTTGGCGCCAAGGGTTTTTGATGGGTGCGCTTAATGGAATCAGAGGCCTCTTCCTCTCCATTTATACTTGAAAATAAAAGCAATTTGGGTTGTTTATTTGTACTGTTTTTGTAGGATTGTCTGGATTATCTGTTATGCTTATGCACATAAAATGAATATCCAGTTAAATCTTGGGAAAAGGCTTCTGTCTACAATAGGAATTCTTCTAAAGTTGATAGGAAGTTTTTATTCCAGAGACTTTGGGTCTTGTAGTATCAGCTTTTATTTAATGATCATTATCAAATAATATTAAGAAACAGAGACAGATGATAAACATAAAAGCCATCAAGCTTGAAAACAGATTCCTTTATCAGCATACTTGGGAAAATCTAATTTTTCTTCATCAAGTACAGCCACTTGTTTTCCAAAATTGCTTCCTGAGGAGAATGTAAAGAAAAACCCACCAAACTACCATTAAGCAAATAAAGGCAGTTTATTTTTTAATTTGTATAAATTTATCTTAATTTCTTTTTATTAAATGAAAAATTTTAAAAGAACATCTATGTAGGCAAATTTGAATGGAATTAACCTTTTACCTAGAAATGTGAATTTCGGGAAGTTATGCAATGTGACAGATGTTGTTTTGTGCATCTCATCTGAATACTTCTAAACTTACAAAATGTGGAATTGGGGTAGGGTTTTGGGCCCTAGAAAATAACAGATTAAAAACACAAACAAACAAAAACACGCTGCCTTATTGTGTAGGAAAAATACTAATGAGAATAAAATTATATAAAAATACATTAATATTGTCCCTGCTTTGGAAGGGAATAAAAAGGAATATGAACAAGTGAATTCAAAGAAGAAAAATATCTTGATTGAAATAAAATTTCTATTGTTAAAGGTTCATAACAATAAAGCATCTATTCCTCTTGATTGTAGCTCAGTCTCTAGTAAAGTCAGGGCGTAGCCTTCTGGATCTTGTACTTTGAACAAGCACTGATGTGGTGGTAGAGATGTGCTCAGGAACACAGTTCAGCAGCAATCCCAGGGATCCTTTCCTTTGTAGCATTTTAAATTTTATCTTCTCTGTAAACTGTGCCTTAGAGTTCTCTAGAGAAACAGAAATAAATGGAGAGAGAGAAAGAGAGGGAAAGGTAGCAGTATTTACTTCAAGGGATTGGCTCCTGTGATTGTAGGAGGGCTGGGAAATCCAAAATCTATAGGTCAGGTGGCAAGCTAGGCTTGTGTCCCAAGATTTGCAATAGGAAGAGTGAAGAACAAGAGAAAGAGAATTTTGCCAAAATATCTATTTATACTCTGGAGGCAGAATACGCTCAAAGGAAACTTCCTTTTCAACTATATTATAGTTAGATTATATTATGGAAGGTGATTACATTACCTTATGATACAGTATAGTACATTTACATTATGGAATAGCCAAATCACTGGGAATGATAACCTAGCCCAATTGACACATAAATTTAATCATCACACTGTGCCTGGAAACATCAGTCATTTGGGAAACAATCGCAGCGTTTTAACTTCATTTATAATTCTCTCTCTGAATCGTTTGGGGGAAGGGGAAGGCCAACAAGTAAAGTCTCATTAAAGGTATCTATTTAAAATAGGAAAACCAAAAAAACCAAACCCTCTGCCATCGAGTCAATTCCAACTCATAGCGACCCCCATTGGATTTCCAAGGTGGTAAATCTTTACGGAAGTAGATAGACCAGCCTTGCTTCTGCTGAGTGGCTGGTGGGTTTGAACCACCAACCTTCAGGTTAGCAGTCAGGTGCCTTAGGCACTGTGCTACCATAGCTCCTATTTAAATTAGAAAGGATGAGAAAAGTAATAATAACACTGAAGACTGGTAAGCACTTATTCCATGCCGCCACTCTAGATGCATCACCTCACTTAATCTCTCAGTTAACTTCAGAGATGAGTAGTGGGAGCTCTGGTGGTGTAGTGCCTAAGGCACTTAACTGCTAACCATAAGGCTGGCAGTTCAGACCCACCAGCCACTCCTCGGAGTGGGCAATCTACTTCCGTAGAGATACTGCCTCGGAAACCCAAGGAGGGGTCGCTATGAGTCGAATCAACTCGACAGCAGTGAGTTTGGTTTTGGTTTGAATGGGCTTATCAGTTGATGCTGGCTTCTGGCCACCAGGCAGGTAAGGAGGGGAGAGTAGCCAAGATTCCAGACTCCATGCTGCCTCTCCAGGAGCATCTATCATCAGATCCTCCTGTCCATGCCTGCATACTTTTCCCAGATATAGATGATTATAAGTTTTTATTACTGAAGCTGCCTAAAGAGATCCTGGCACTCGCAAGTTTAAAAAAGAGAGAAAGAGGAAATTTGTGAGAAATTCAGAATCATTTTTATTTTTATAATGAAAGGTGTCATTTCGAGTTACAAATAATACAGAAGGAAGATATACTTTCTTTTAACTAATGCATAATTTTACTAAAGAATTTTGGGCCTTCACAAATTTGCCTTAACCTACTTCCTCAACCTCATTTCTTGACACTTCCTCCTGCTCAACCCCCATCGTGTCTCACCCCCCTCGCTTACCCATGTTCTGGGTATTCCGGACCACAAGCCACCAGAAAGTTCTTTCACTCCATGTGCTTTACTCTAACAGTTTCAGCAATTGCTTTCTTCTTTGTAAAAAATCTGGTCATTGCTCCAGATTCACTTTAAGAGACATGGCTTTTACAAAGACTTCCCCGACTATTCTTATCCCCTACTCCATATTTTGTGTATGTGTGTGGGTATGTGTGTGTTTGCTTAATATTTTGATCAGAGAGTACATAAAGCATTAGTTGTATTGTTTTAGAGTTTCACAATCTTTATTTGCTCACAGGCTTGACTTTATCTCCATCTCTCCTGGCACATGGTAGGTGCTAATGATATTTATTGAATTGAAAATTTGTCACAAATATTTTTTCTTAGTTCCTTAAATATGCACTAAAGCCTTTCTTTGATTTCCCTGATTAATTTAATACTTTGTGACTTCCTACAGTGTCTTCTATGAAGGAAGATATAACCAATAATATAATATTTTGCATTGTGCCACATTTCATCTTTGTCAAAGCGCATTCTTCATCTTAGCCTCAAAATACTATGTGACCTCTCACTCCAGGGAATTTAGGAAATTGAATGATGACAGTGGCAAACAGGCAAGATAATAATTTCTCCATTTTAGTCTAAATACATTCATTGGGCTAAAACTTAGCTTCCCCTACCAAAACCATGTACCCAATAAAGAACTTCTTTGGTGACAAAGAACGTAAGAACAGATATTAACAGTTGCTTAGTCACTTTGGATTATTCTCAGAAAATTCTCAAGTCAGTTTCTCCTTTTACCTAAAAAGTTTAGGTCCCTCTATGTATATTGGGGGAGCTCTGGTAGCATAGTG